TTCTACGTAGACATCTCTAGAGAAACAAATCGTGTCAGTAACAATAAGCTCTCTCATAAGAGAAGCATACCGTCTGGAACATAAGCGGTGCACTACACGGTCATTGTTTGGGTCCCAGAACCCAAGGGCACCAACCACAATGGCGTCAACGCGCACATAACTAGCTGCGGCGAAGGGTGTTAACCAGTCGACGGTATTTCTCAATCTTCTACTTCCTAGCAGAGTCGAAGGCGGACCGCCTGTTGTCGAAGGGGATCGTGATATCCAGCACCAGACAGGAATCATCACTCACAAGGATAAGGTCAGGGCGGAGAGCATGTCCACGGAACACCTGGTTCTCAGAGAGCACGACCCATCTGCCAGCAGCCGCTATCTTGATACGCTCCACCACTGCATTGTGACGGGCCTGGAAAAGTCGGCTATACCTCATACAGTGGCAGATCACGTGTGGAAGAGTCTCGAGATGGTAGTTGCAACGGCGGCAGCCACGGGAACCATTTGTCGAGCGTCGGACTCCATTCAAAGGGACGAGGTTGAGTCTTGCACGGTGAACGAAGCGCCAATCCGCGAAACGGGTGAATGAGCCATCTCTGAAGAAGTGGGAACTTGCCTTGGCAGCAGCAGCGCATTCAATGGCTTTTCCCTGATTAGGATACGAAAGGAGTTTTGCAGTCCTAGCTTTCTTGAAGGCTGTGCGAAGGGTTCTAAAGACGAGATGACGCTTGCCTTGCGAGATCATGGTACCATTGTGGATCAGAGACACAGTGTTGTTCTCAGCAACTTCCCAGGTGACATTTAACCGGCGAGAAGCACTTCTGGCAGCTGACCAGATAGAAGAGATGGGGTTGGAGATAGTAGCAAGTATTCCGTCATTAGAGCCGGAGAGGAAGGTGGCAAGATCTTGCGGTGAGGGAGTGTTGGAGATCCGCTTGGAGACAAGGCGAGTAAGATCGTCCCAGGCCAAGAGTTGAGTCGACGGATCACGGGAGGTCAAAAGCGTGAAAGCTCCATCAATCCGAGCAATATCCGAATTTTCCGCTGCAAGGGGTAACCCTAGACATGCCATCTTAGAGTCCCCAAACAGGCATTCATTTGCCGCCTCAGGTGGAAGATTAAGGGTCTGTTTAAGGAAAGGGCAGATAAAATCATCAAGTTTCGCCAATCAGTCTTCTTCAGGCGTGCCATCCGCATGCCGAAATTCATAGATGGGAAGGCGAAAGACTTGAGAGCGTCAAGGCGCTGCCACGGTGCAAGGTGGGACTCAAGCAGCACTTTGCATATTTCTATATACGCATTAAGAGCATTTGTATCTGGTGGCAGTTGGAAACCAATAGGCTTGCCCAGGAAAACACCTTCCTCACCGTCAGCAAGAGCATGAAGACGTACACCATCCAGGAAGAAGGGAGTGTCTCTAGTGCCGATGGGGCAGAAGCCAGAGAGATGAAGAGAAAAGCACATCCTGGGGTTAAGTGCAAGCCCAATTTTGGCAGAAAGTGCATGTACCATGTCCAGTTGTATTTGTAGCTCCTGGGGGCTAGAGGGAAGAAGGATGTCATCTGCATAGGCAAGTATGCGGTGAGCTTGAGCCTGGGCCTGGACGACTCTGAGAATAGGATCAATGGCAACATTGAAGAGGAGCCCACTAAGCGGGCAACCTTGGCGCACTCCAGATTCAATGAAGATGGGATCCGTCAGGCCATCCTGGGTGATGATGCGGGTAGAAGAGTTGTCATACAGGTCACGGATGATATCGATGAAGTCAGCACCGACGCCAGCAGAGTCCAGAGACTGAAAGATAGCAGCATGTGGAAGTGCACCAAACGCATTCCCAATGTCCAGTGAGGCAAGACAGAGATCGGATTTAGACGTTCTTGCAAGTTGGATACGTTGCTGGACAAGAAAATTATTTTCGAAAACTCCGTCAAAAGGCAGGAAGCGCTTCTGAGCAGGTGATAGAACGTCATTGTTGAGTATCCAGTTGGTAAATCTTCGAGCCAGGCAGCCACAGAACAGTTTAAAGATGGTGACACTAAGGCAGATCGGTCTGCAATTATCAGGTGCGAGAGGATCTCCTTTCTTAAACAGCAAGATGGTCCGAGTGTCCTTCCAACTCTCTGGAATCCTTTTAGCGCGTAGACAGATGTTGAAAATCTTTGCAAGTATAGTGCACTCAGGATCGACAGATCGCCAGTGGTTATAAGTGAGGCGATCGTGACCTGGTGACGAGTTTTCAAAGGCATGCAGTCTACTGGCCACTTCAGATGGAGTAAACGGCGACAAATCCAAAGGGTCGGGAGGAGGATCTCGCGCAGAGTAGAAGGATGAATCAATGGATCCAACTCTTTGCAAGGCTACGAAGTAGCCTTGGAGGTCTTGGCGGCTGATAGAACATCTAGTGGAATTCCCTTCTGTGAGAAGACGTACAGCTCTGCGTCTCTCTCTCTTGTAAAGTTTTTGGATGAACTTGTGATCGTTGCATGGTGGCGGTGAGTTACGCAAACCGGTGGGAGTGTCAGCAGCAGGGGGAAGTCGAACCACCTCAGCAGCGGTTTTGTAGATGTCATCCAGGACACTCAGTACATCATCCCAGTGAGCGGAGAGGTCAACATCAGAGACGCGTCCAGACGTTCATGAAAGTGATCCAGCGGTGAGGACGGTTGCGGCTTCACGGGAAGGGCAGGAATGTCTTCACTGAAATCAGGAGCACCATGGTCCAGATAAGAAGTGGCGGAGATAGGTGATGGTGATAGACTATCCTCGCGGTCAGTAGAGGGACGGTGGTTACCAGGTGTTCCGCTTGACTCTTTGACATCCTTTGGGGAGTGGGCTCCCCCCGGGGGTCGACGTAGAGAACTCTGCGAAGCTACTGACTAGGATCTGTACCTAGGCAGTCTCGGCCACGGGGGTATATAATTTATGAACTTGGCGGTTCCCGATGGTCCATGTGTAGGTTTATACTTGCTCTTCATAGGCCGGGAGGTGTAAGTCCCTTCCACCAGGGTATTGGTAGCCAAATAGCAAACTGGGCCATTGAGCGTCTGGTCCCTGCTGTCCTTGGTATTCCATGTAAAAGCCTAAGGAGAGGGGCATCCCGTGTAGGACTGGCAGGTAGCCCAATTTAACGGCCGGTCATCGACCCTAAGTTGTCATCGCCCACCCCACCGTGGTCTCGGTTCGGCCGGGACGGTGGTCTTGACCAGCCCGTGTTTAGCGGTGGGCTTTTGATCGTTGAGCGATCAATAGAGGGTACCATAAATTTGTTGGTGTCTCGGGGGTGTGGGACCCTGGGCCCAGCAGGAGTGTTTCAAGTCATCGGTGGGTGACGCTTTCGGGATTTTTCCCGTTCCCAGAATGTGATTGGGTTCACGAGCTGCGGTAAAAATCTTAGTTAGTTTGGGGAGTGGGCGCTGCTAGGCGTGGGCACAGCAGGCAGATCAGGAGTAGAGTTAGAAGCAGAAGGCACAGGCGTGGTGAGAAGAGGAGCAGAGCCTTCCTGGGGCATAGGTGGAGAGGAGTTTGTGGTCAGTGTTACATGTCTGTTAGTCCTTTCTCGACGTCTGCGTGGGCGGGGAGTAGGAACAGCAGGTACATTCACACGAAGGCGTTCCCGCTTATGCCGGGCTTGGTGATTAAGATAGCCCCCTCTGGTCTGGCAAGAGAAGTCGCATGACATACACTGCCAAAGGTGGGTGATACCAGAAGTAATGAGGACTGGGCGATCTTGAAAGCAGGCGTGTCGAGACTCGAGACAATCCTTTGACGGCAGTGATTGCACCAGTTCTCAGTGTGGCTGATGGTGAGATCATGTGCAACGGTCAGATGTCTGCATAAAGAGTGTCGGGATTGTGACCAAGACTTGGCGTGGAAGGTCCTAATTCAGTGCTCCTCCGTACAATGAAGAGTATCAGACACAGGGACAGAAGATGAACAACCGTGTCGCGTCTGCAGGTGGTCAACGGGAACTGGTGGGAAGATCCATCCGTGACCTCATCGGAAGGACCGGAGCGAGGAGCTTGAGACACCGGAGTAGGCGGCTGAGCAAGAGATTCAACACGAGACGTCTGGAGAGAGGCAGGTACAGGAAGGGAAGTCGTTGATTGCAGTCGCAGAAGGAGAGGCAGGTAACGGTGACAGCGGCTCCAAGGAGATGACAGTCATTGGCAGGAGATGAGGGTCCAGTAGCAGTGCCAGGTGAGCAGCCAGGATTGATGTTAGGGACCTCAACTGCAGGACTGCGAGCAGGTAGAGCAGGAGCAGAGGAGGTGGACGGAGAGGTTTTTGTCGTAGGAACTATAATCCCTGGTGCTGTAGGAGGGGAGCGAGAACCAAGATCAGAGCTGTAGGTGTCCATGGAAGAGCTGGAAGCCAGGATATTCGGGGCTAAGAAGTGGGTGAGCGTAGTCTTCGAACGTGTAAATGAGGTCACTGGAGAAGGCGAGGTCTGCACAGGCGGTGGGCGTGGCAAAGGAGGTCCATACTTAATGTGCAGCTTCATGTGATGCCTCAGCTTTCCACTTCTCTTAAACGCCTTTCCACATGTCTCACAGGTGAAAGGAGAAGTACCCATAAACGACGGCCATGAGGTGTTGCGGGAGGAGATCGGCTGGGAGGCGGGAGTGCTCAACGAAAGTGCATCCATCTGAGAAGAGGTAGTCGGTGCGCAGCATCCGAAGGCGAAGAAGAAACTGAGGAGTGGCGGGCCTAGATCTTATCGATGAGAACTCGGATGTGATTGGTGTTAGTGATGGGCGGACCAGTCGGGGTGACAAAGGCGGCTACATGGCGTTTCACTGGGATCGAAGATCCAGGATCCTTAGGGCAAGGCGGTCTTGAGAGGCAGTGGTATTCCTCCATTTGCAGCGGCGTTCATCATCCCGGGAATCGGTAGTCCTCTGGGGGTGGCTCCATCTACTTTGGCAGCAGGAACGCGGCGTCCAGCAGAGACCTTAGCAGCGTAGGAAATTCCTCCGGGGGTAGCAGCAGTCATCTCAGACAGTGTTGGTCCTCCATGGGTGGCATCATCATCTGCGGCACCGGGACTGGAATGAGCATCCACAGGGCATCCAGCAGGGTCCTTGGTAGCAGAAACAGGAACACGGCTTCCAGCAGCGACCGTGGCAGCGTAGAATCCTCCTCCGGGGGCAGCAGCATCCATCTCGGACAGGGGTGGTCCTCCAGGGGCGGCTTCATCTTTCGCGGCACCGGGACTGGAACAAGCAGAAACAGGAACATCCACAGCGCATCCAGCAGGATCCTTGGGAGTGTAGACTCCACCTCCAGTGGCTCCAAGCATCCTGGGCAGGGCCTTCCCATGGGCAACAGCTTCCTCAGGAACTCCAGATACAAGCTTCCTCGGGAACCCGGATACAAGGGCCCACCTATAGGCAGCAGCATCCTCAGGAATTCCGAATACAAGAGCTGGAACTGCGACCCCAGGAACAGCTGGCGGAGAACGGGAACCAGGACTCCTCACGGCAGGCGGTGGGCGTGGCCTCGGCCGGGAAGCAAGGCGGGGCGGGAGCTCATCCTTCCTTTGGACTATCCACCACTCAAAATCTAAAAAAAGAAAAATGCGGCAAATTAAGCGGAAGGCGACTCCGCCTTCGGCGTTCAATCTGCTTAACCGGTGTTATTAGGCTGTCACAGGGACACAAGCAACTAGTCCACCGATTAAGCTGATAAGAACAGAAATCTTTTTTATTTAAGAATATTTGCGGCCACTTTACATGCGAATGATACTTACGTAGCGTAAGTATCAAGCTTACAAGTTTACATCACGATTTTATAATCTCTATATATCTCACATATGATTTTTACATGATCATTTCCTATTTATGTTTACAATATGCAATTTCGAATTTACAATACATATATGCTTTACATTTTGGTTTTTTGAATTTTAAGACGACTGTATTATTTACAATATGTACAGTTTGTCCTTTGTGAACTAGTCCATCAGTAAAGTTTTTGGTTCAAACCTTTACACTGGCTCCTTACTGGTCGTTCTGTCGCACATCCGTTAGGTGTTCCACGTATATATCTCTGGAGTAGCTGATGGTTTGGCTGACGATGAGTTTCCTCATAAGGGATGCGTATTTCCTGCTGCATAGTCGACTGATGACCTTGTCGTTTGCTCGGGTCCCAAGACCCTAAGGCGCCGACCACGATGGCTTCTACTCTTACGTCGTTATATTGTCTTTTCAGTGCCTCCACAGAAGTCACGGGAGGAGCTGGAGCGGACGTAGCCGGAGATCTGGAGGACACATCAGCGGGTGAAGAAGAGGCACCAGGTGGAGGGTGCGGCTGTCGCTGTGGCACAGGAGCAGGAAGAGGAATGTCGTGGTCAATGGAAGAGTTCCTCTCAGCACGCCGGTGGAATTCGGAGTGGTTGAATAACCCTTTCCGGGAAGGACAGGAGAACGGACAAACTGTGCACTTCCAGCGGAAAGAGGCACCAGTGGAGATGACGGGAGGAGAGGTGCGGAAACAGGCATGGACAGATACCTTGTTGGCTAGCCGGGAGTTGCAAAGGCTGCACCATTTCATACATGAAGAAATGGGGGTCAGATGTTCCTGGAGAAGGTGTCTGGTGAGGGATCTCTTCATACAGGACTAGGAGTTGGAGCGGAACAGGAGGCTGCAATTGGGCTCTGTGCACATGAAGAATTCGCTTACAGGAAAGACGAGATGGAGCGTGGAACCCTCGCGGCAGGTAGTAGAAGGAATAGGAGCGCCTGAAGATGTAGCATTGGAAGGAGGCGGCGAGGCCTGAAGAGAAGTAGACGGAAGCTGCGGATGGCCAGTGGTAGAGAAGTCAGCAGCACCAGGAGAGGAGGGAGGAGGAGGAGCAAGGCGATGACGGCGGAAGCGGTGAAAGCGTAGCTGTCTCTTGTTGAGGAACGACTTACCACACGTCGGACAGTCAACCGGAGAAGAGCAAGTGGAGACACCAGGAGACGCGGGCACGGCAGCGGGAGGAGGAGAGAATTACCAGAAGCCGGGCGTGAAGGAGACACCCCGCATAGATGCAGAATCGTCGGAATATAGGAAAGACGCTCTGTCGCCAGAAGTTGCAGGAGCAGGAACAGGAGAGGAGGAAGCACTAGGAGTTCCATCAACAGAGATCGCAGAGGACGGCGAACGAACTCTTGGACTACCCGAAGGAGAAGCAGAAGTGGCAGATCGAGCAAGTAGGAACAGGAGACTTAGTCGGAGAAGTGTGCGCGCAGGAGTGTCCAGCAGCAGCACGTGACCTTGTGTGGTGACACACTGGGGAATCTGAAGAAGGGGCAGCAGTAGCAAGGATGGAGCCAGGAGAAGGTAAGGAAGGAGGCGAAGTAAGAGGCACGAGCGGTGCAGAGAGCATTTCCGGAGGAGGCGAAGTCCGGGAGCAGGAAGCGAAGACATCATTGCAGATGCGAGAGGAGGCAGACGTCCTGGCAGATATGATGGAGAGCATCTGGCACAGGGAACCATTTCTCAGCAGAGGAGGACCAGAGGGAACAGCAGAGGCAGAGATGTGGCGACGTGGAGCAGGAGCTGGGTGAAGACTACCAGACCGCGTTGTCATCACGGAGGAGTGACCCGAAGCGTGCAAATGGCTCAGACGTCTGTGTGGCGTCATGTCCAGCGATCCATCGGGGCATCCAACACTCTGTGGCAGTCCACCAAGGACAGGTGGCATCGGAGGGAGACCAGTAGTCGGCGACGGTATCCGAGGCGGCCGTGGAGACACAGGAATGCATGGCAAGCCGGGTGACTCTGACATCTGAAAATAGAGCTCGAAATCGAGAGTACAAATAATTAGTAATACTGCTAATTGGCAATTGGCAAGATCAAAGCGAGAATGGAGAGCAAGAGTCTTTGCAGAAGATTCGGTGGCTCTGGTAGAAAAAAAACATGACCGGGGTAGGCGGAGAAAAACTAGCGCGTGCAACTAGCCGATTTGGATGGAAATTGGTGTCGAGCTAAGGATACACTCAGCCGAGTGGCCTGTCTGCAAGGACACCAATGGAGGTAAGTCCCTGGACCCACGACGAACTGGGGGTCGAGGCACCTATCGAGACTAAATACTCGAAAGGAAAAACCATTGACAGGAGAGCAAAGACGATGACCAGGACTTGGAAGATTACGCCCCACTAAAGGCCGTACCCAGCCGGGTGTCCTTTTCACATGGATGGGTAATCGGAAGCTTACTCGATCCCTGACCTGTGGCAGAACACAGGCTAAGGGCTCACGGCTACTCCGGGACACTAATCCGAGTAAGCATAAAAACCAACCAGTTAGATCGAAACTAACCTGGACATGGGAAAAATAAATAAAACGAAACAAACGATAGCCAGAAGAAGAAAGAGAAAGAGATAGGGATGAAATAAAGGAAAGACCACGCCCACCATAATAGTGAGTTTGTGGAAAGGAAAAAAAATAAGGGCTCAACGAAAGCATTTTAACACTAAATAGTGAAAAAATACTAAAGAAGAGCAAGAATAGACAGGAAAGAGGTAGAGAAAAGTTAGACCCCGCCCATCACATGGACTTAACCGAAAACGGCTAGTTCAGCGATAGCGGGAAAAGACACCTGCACGCTCACAGGCTCACAGGGAAAGGAAAGGTTCCTACTGACGCAAGTAAAGGTCACCAACCCATCAAGCATCAGTAGGAGAAATGAGAGACAAAATAAAGCAAAACTTACCAAAGATCCACCTTGGCTCCGCCTTCAGCTCCGCCTCCGGACGAGGCAAATTACTCTATCAGCATATCCACCGGTGAACCTATAAAAATAAATCAAACCGGCAAATTAAGCTGATAAGAACAGAAATTTTTTTTCAAATTTTATGGCCACTACTTCGATGATTACTGGCGAAGTCAACTTCAGTTTGATGTGCACAATGCAGTTTCATTATATTACCATTAGTTTACGTGATAGTATACTTACAATTTTATTTACAGGTATATACAATATCTACAGTTCTCCAAATTGGACAGTGGTAAACAACGCTGACTTCCGTAACGGAGGTCACCGTACGAATTCCGGAAAAGGTATAAAAATTTGAAATGAGTAGTGTCTTTGCAGCATGGAGCACTCTATATGTGCGGCCAGCCGTAAGTCCTCTCGAGACGTTGGAGGTACGGATAGAGATGTGAGAGATCCTCGGATCAAGTGACACATGTTTGGGTACATCTTACTTTGAATCATTAAATGGTTTGACACTTAACTGAAATGTTTTACGGTGTATTGCAGCTGTGTAACATGGTTTACCCATCTAAAGCGAACATAGTTTGCAGATTAGGTTCCCGTGCGGTTTGCACTTTGTCCAGATTGTCAAAATGAATGTAGTTTCCGAGCTGATAACAAAACATAGTAGCGTCCATGATCTGTTAGATTAAATGTCTGTTAAAAATTTATATTTCATTCTGCGCAAAAAAAAACGCTAATCCTATAAGCTAGTGGTGTGAACTTGGAGGCTGTTAAAGCAATCTTTTACAGCCACCGAATGTATTTTCCGTTAAGTACCATTATTATGATACTAATTATTATGGCAAGGAACTGCAAACGTTTAGGATTTT